GCCAGCAAAAACACGACCCGCACTTCTATCTGTACATCGTCATATCTGTGTACGGTCAGCAGCGGCGTCATGTTTAATGTGACGTGTAAAACGAATAGTGTCGTGCGGGGGGAACGGACGACCGGTGAAAGAGGAGGGAGAGGGGAGGTGGTCGATACCATGGGACAAAAATGCATTTTTTTGCGAGACTGTTGCGAGTTTGTTTGTTGCGAACTTTTTCAACTTTGTGAGTTTTTTGATGGCACATACCTATAGTAATAGGTCGCTGTGCTTTGCCTATTTCAAGTTTAGTATTTCACAGAAGGCTTTATAATTGGTATCATATATATGTATATAACTATCAAATACATAATTTTCATTTTTAAAAATTCCCCTCAACGTCCAAGCGACATGACTTTAATTATACATCCAACCTTAACCAACAATAATCGAAATTTCAATTTTCAGCGAAACAAATTTGATATTCATTATGCAATAGCGTACAGAACTACGCGCACGACTGTAACGTTTCTAATCCCGCAAACAGCAATTCAATTCAAAACAGATTCCAATTCAGCCTATAGTAGCCTCGGGACAATGGCGGGGTGACGAATGCGCACTGTGTCCGGTATACGGCCATCGCTCACGCCGTCCGTCCGCCGGACGCACGGTCGCACGGAGCCACGGACTCCCGGACCGCCGGACGCACCAAAACGCCACCTAAATGTACGACGGCATTCGAACATTGGTCATCTTTGACACACCCTGTGTATAGTGGAATGATGTATGATTAAATGTGACTGTAATATGTCTCTAAGACCGACATATGTGTCAATGAATTGCTATTATTATGGGATAATATTGTATTTAATATTATCATCCTAGGCCTAGGGAGCCATAGGGATGTTTGAGCATTATTCACCATACTATCTACACCTTCATATATGAAGGCTAAAGAATAACATTAAAATAATTTACCAATAATACTATTTTTTATTATGTTATTATAAAATATATTCATATACATATTTATATGGCGGGGCTCGAAACTCGACTTATAACGAGGTGGTTTTTAATCAGTAACACTCCTCATTCACCCCATCTGCCATACTACAGGCAGACATCAGGTGATACGTCTGCTCGTTTGCCTCCTATTCCATAAAAAAGGCATGATTCAATGATTTTACCCGCTCATGATAGACATTGAACTTCTTGACATTAATTATATTATGCCATTTATGCAAACTAATTGAAAAGTAGGTTTTAAAGCTTTTATCTGCAAAATCCAAACAATTTATTATAGAACTTTGTAATCTTTTACAATTTAAAATTAGAATATGCACCTGTTAATTATTAAATGAATTTAAAATTTTGTAGAACAGAGTGCGAAATGGTGCCGTTGCCATGAGGAACTCCAAAAATGGACAGAACCAAAGACGTACACTTTATTACCGTTAAAATGAAAGTAACTTTGTCTAAATTGAATGCGAAAATGAACTCTAAAGTTCAATATTCAATTAACTTACAATTAGTATAACTTCGTTTTGAATTTCATAATTTTATAAAAGTTTTACAAAATCCCGTGCTTGTCGTTGAGTTCAAAATTGGTTGATCAACCGCCAACCTGCGGGTTTCGGGATCTTCGATATGAGATTGAAAGTGAATTTTCTTGGGGTTATTAAATTAAGGTAAGATTTTAAATATCACAAGTATGTTATTATTTGATCGAAAGACACCACAGAGTTGTTTCATAAGGTTCCGGACCAAATAACGTGTATTGTATGGATTTATTTTGGTATAATATGTTGTTACAATATGAACAGAAATACGCCATTTGTTTTTTCAACTATATATATACAGCGAAACCTCAGTCAAATCAAATCAAAATCATTTATTCCAACTAAACCATAAATAGGTACTTTTGAAACGTCAAAATAGAATAGTAATCTGTCAGTCTGTTCATCAGTAAAGCTGGGAGCTCGTTCCAAATTGTAGTTTCGAATGGAAAAGAACGAGCAAGAAACTCCATAAATTAAGTTAGGTTAGGTCAGTAATTAGGTTACCCATTTTTTCCCCTATGAACACAACCCAAAAAATTAAAACCAACAAACAATAACTACACAAGTAATCCATTCATCAACACTATGCTAATATTTCTATAAACAAAACCAAAGTTTCCATAACAAAGCAGTCATCATTACCTCAGAGCGTACGTAGCTGTAAAAAAAAAAAAAACACGCCGACAAGGACCTGGTACCTCCGGACACAACTGAGAGGATTGGAGGAGGGAAGGATGTTACGGGCCGGAAACGGCGCCGGGCGGAAGCTTGAACCCTTTGCCTCACCCTTTGTTTATAGAACTAGGAGTTGGCAGCGGCTAAAGTCCAAGTGTCTAGGAAAGGTTTAAGCACAAGATGCAGAATTCGATTGGAGATGGGAGTATGATTGAGATTGGGAATGTGATCGAGACTGGCAGTGTCATTGTTGTTCATTCGTCATAATAATCAAATTAGATTATGGCTCTTTTTTAGACTCGCATCTTGCTTGAAGGTTTAGATAGGATACAAAAAGAAAAAGAAATCGTCACTTTTATATTTTAGTATTTCAGAACATGGTTTAGTAGAAAAAATTTGGACCTAATTATAATAAAAATAGTAATAGTAATAAAAATTATGTAATACGCATGTTAAAAAAAAATAAGAAATGTACCTAAAACTTTTTTTCATAAACAACTAAATCAAAACGTAGAAATTTATCATTTCAATGAAAGAATAGCTCTAAATGGAAGGTAAATATATTTTGACAGGCACCGCTACAACAACACATCTCGCAGATGGCGCCACCAGCGCTTTTGATATACTGTCCGTATTTCCCAACGACAAAAGCCTTTCTCACAACTATTACGCAAAACAGGAAACGGATGTCGTTGCTGCGATGCGACCGACACCAGAATTCAGCTGTAAGGGCGGCAAATAATCCTGAAATTCGCCCTTTCAGCGGTTGTTTAATGAAAAAAGTTTAAAAGAAAACGCTCGCTCTAAAGTACTTATTTTTTGGACATCAAATATTTACATAGCGACGAGTTTCTCGGGGCACTTAATAATGATTTTACTTGTTTTGCGGAACATTTTTTTTGGACATGATAGAATAGACTTGTCGTTGTGTTTTGTTCAAGTTAATTTATTTAAAAAAAATAAAACAGACCAAAATAGGGTTTGGAGTAGGAGATGTATAAAAATATTTGATTTAATTTTAATTCCCATTATATATAATTGGCAAGGTTCAATTAAAGTTAATCTGTACTTGTAATTAGCTCTACTGTGCCTCATACAGATTTATCTTTTTATTCCATACAGTTGAAAATTTAGAATTCTCTACTAAGAATATCGCATGTTTAATAGGAAACAGAACTAACTTATAAATACCCTATTGGTATTTCACAATTGAAACTTATTGTTGAAACGTAATTTTTAAGATAACAATACCTTCTTTTGAGTTAGGCTTCTTTTCTATTAAGCAAACGACTTATTGTAAGAGCTTGCAATTAAAATGATTAGGCACTAAGAAAAAAATATAATATCTGACGTTCAACAGATATGCAATAAAAGAAGAAACTTGTCCGTCGTCTGTTAAGCTAACAAGTTGTAGAAAAAACATGGACAAGGGGGGATTAACTTAATTGTTTTTGCAGATGTTAGGGTGGGGGTAGTAAGGAGATACAACCGTACATTTATTAGCCAATTATGTGGACCACTAGCTTTCGTATGCCGTTTTGCTTACAGACAATTTTATACTACCTATACTAGCTTTTGCCAGTGAGTCTGAACGCGTGGGATAGCGACTTCCTGCACATTTTTGGTATAAAAAACTATCCTATATCCTCTCTCGAGTTTCAAACTGTGTTTGTACCAAATTTCACAGAAATCGGTTCAGTAGTTTAGGCATGAATAAATGAAAAGACAGACAGACAGAGTTACTTTTACATTTATAATATTAATTTGGATTTCGATGAAAAATTGATAGATATATAGATGGATTTCTTCGCGGAGTTTTTGTCTGAATGGCCGATTTGTAATATATAAAAAAAAAATAGAAAATATGGTTAGTTTAAGTATTTAAGGATTTCATTTAATAAGTTTGTTCTTATGCGTGTTTAAGTGTGTCTTTGCGTTTTATGTTTTTATTATGTATATTATTTTATAAAAACTAATGCCGTAATACGAATTGCACATAGTATTATGAGTTTGGACTAATATATAAACCATTCTTCAATAGTGGCAAAGAAAAGTTGCTCTTGTAAAATTTACAGTTTTTGTAATCATTAAGTGTAAGACTGAATAACTTTTCATCTATAAAATATACACATGTACTACAAACTAGAAATATGTATATCTATGTAAACTAGCCGGTTTAACTTAAAGGACCAACTTGAGAACGGATAGCTTAAGTTAATACTCACTTAGGTCAAGTTATATTAAGGATGGCCGGATCTAGGAGCTCTGTTAATAGAGACCGTCTTACTGGCCATTGTAAATACAAGTTACTGACTTAGAAGTCCTATATGAATGTTACATAATGTTTACAAGTCTTTCGCATAATACTTTTATGTTTGTGTTAGTATGAAAAAACTTTTAAACGTGTGTAGGAGTAATACACGATCTTACAAAATCCTGGCGTGAAAAAACGCTTGCGATGTTGCAAATCTCAAAAAAGAAAAAGATAAAAAAGATTTTAAGACTACACAAAAATCTTTTAAATTGTTTGGTTAATAAGTATGTAGAGTAACACATACATATCTTCATTTATAAGTACTACCACCTAAGAATACATGTGGAAAGGAATAAAGTATTGAGTATCTAGGTACCCGAAGACCGCATTAAAATCAAAATAAGATACTCTTTTTTTTAGCCGAATAATACGTCTGATATTGGTATTAAAATTGTAAGTTCGAATGATATAAAACACATTTTGTTGTAATAGACCCAATTATTTGTTTTTTTACGTATTAAAAGCACACTTACCTTTATAAATCTTTTGGCTTTCGTTAATAATCCTAAAGTTGTGTGTCGCGACGCTTCGGGGCCTAGGGGTACCATGTCCTTTAATTTTTCCAAGCAGCTTCTTAAATGTGCTCTCCTGTAACAAAGAGAACAATATAATTAGTAAAACATTTCAATACTTCCTATAACTATACTAATATTATAATGCTGTAGAGTTTGAATCCGGGACAATTGGTTCGATTTCATTAATAAATTGTTTTTGTATTCGTTAGCCCATTGATAGGGATTGATAGGAAGGCTGTAAAATACCACGCAACGATCAGACGAGAGTAGCTAGCTTGTTAATAATTTGGAATGGTTTTGTAGATGGATAATTCTATCAGCCCCACAAGTCCAGAACAACTTATTTGCTACACAATAATACCAAAAACCTATACACACGAATAAAATATGTGCATACTTTATTACGTTTCATATGAAATAACATAAACAGTTCTCCTAAACCCAAGCAGTTCGCACATAATTCTCTTTCTCTGCTTAATAGTGCTTATACATGATAATACAAGGCAGTTATATTTCAGCCACTAAGAGCGTATTACATTACAGTTACGGGCGTTTTCACGTCTCAGCGTAAACGTAATACGTTCGCTTTGGCGAAATTTGCGACTTCGTTGCCCCTACTACGTGTCTTTGTTGTATTCGAGTTGTGGTGTCAATTTTAGAGGTTATTTTTGGGGTATAATTTCTCTCGTTGCCTTCTTTAAGACTCATGTGATAGTAATAATGTGATATCATAATGATCAATATATGTACTATATATAAGTGGCTGGCTAAGCTTGAAGTCGAAGAGTTCAAAATTGAATTAAGTGGAGAGCTCTATGTCGTTAAAATCGAGACGTTTATACGATGTTTATTACGATTACGTTTTTACGGCAACCGCCGTCCTGACATATAATTGAAATTGGAATACGTCGTCCATAATTTCACAAAACAAATTTGATAAAACTGTGACCATAATAAAAAAGTGTTTTGCATTCGACTTAAACTCTAGTTGAGTTCGAGTTACACTAGTAGTGTCAACAAATAAGCTTTGTTAGGGCTAGGTCGGGTGGCTGCGCGTGCCGTGGAACCGACTCGACTCGGCTTTGAACCTCGCTCACTAATTTCCTACAATCATATGTACCAACAATTATTATTGTTTTATTATTTCGCATTGTTGCTTGCTTTTATAGAGGAATTTTGTTGAAGTAGTTAGTTTGTTTGGTAGAATCGAGTTATATAATTGTTAAAGTTATATTAAGTAAATGGTTTTGAATATGGCATTAAGTGTGGGAGAGCCATACGTCGGCACGAATGGGTCGGCTCGACCGGAGTGATACCACGGCCTCACAGAAAACCGGCGTGAAACAACCACAGTGTTGTGTTTCGCCGTGTGAGTGAGGTTACCGAAGGCCCAATCTTTCCCCGCCCCCAATCCCTGCCCAGTTCCTAAATCTCCAAATCCCTAAAAGGTCGGCAACGCACTCGTAACTCCTCCGTTACGGGTGTCCATGGGCGGCGCTGATTGCTTACCATCAGGCTGATTGCATACCGTCTGCTCGTCTGCCGACATATTACATAAAAAAAATTGGCATCTTTTTTGTAAATATGATTACTAGTTATGTACTAAGTTGCTTTAAAATACTTGTATAGATGTTACCATGTACGTATATAAGTAAAAACATAGCTTTTACTTACTAAAGGTATCTTCGCCCTTAGTAAAAGCTGTGTTTAACAAACTGATTTTCAGAAAAGCGTTATACATGTTAAATTTCTTAAACGTATTTATGCTTATGTATATTTCAAAGCACTAAAGATGAAAATCTGAAATCAATTACAACTACTAGTATAACCTTCTAACTAATTTCAAGAAAAACGCTGTACCATATTGGCTTTAATTAGCTGAGTACAACGCATATAATAAAACAGTTCCAATGTCATTAATACGTAGATAAAGCACTAAATATCGCCGATTTATGTTCCCAAAAATATTATCTTGGTATTTGTTGCCATTAATTTTGTCGCAGGCGCTCTCCCCGATAACACCCGCATACTATATCTATAATATCTATACTATATGTAATTATATCTCATCTTCTATCTACCCTCATAAAATCTTATACCTACGGTTATTCTTAGAAAATTGTAAATTTATTACAATGTTATTTGTGTAAGAGAAAAATAATAATGTTTGTAAGTTAGCGGAGAGATAAAACGAATTTGTTGCCAGGTAACGATGACAGGTATGAGGTCAAGTTGTTATATTCAACCTCTTTATACAAAAGCTTATTAAGAGTCCATCTAGATTTCTTAGTTACCGCCTGGCATTGCCGGCTTCGATTTCTTAGTCGGGGAAAGTAGTATTCATAATTAGCTTGTAAAAAGCCGATGTGTTATTTCAGACTAAAATCTGTCTATGTGCCAAATTTCGTTTAGATCCATTTACTATATTTTACATGAAACAATAACAAAGTTTCATCAATTCATCTATACCTATATATCACTTAGAAACTCTCGCGTTTATAATACAATGAAATAAATGATGAAAAACGCATGTTATATAAATTTAAAGAGGCATTCACTGTGTACTGTTGTTACTCTGTCTGTCTGTCTTTTCTTCACGCCTAAACTACTGAACCTATTTGTGTGAAATTTGGTACAGACATAGTTTGGAACTCGAGAAAGGACATAGGATAGTTTTCAAACCTTTTGGTTTCCAGAATGGAAACCAAGATTGACATCTGCAGGAAGTCACTATTTCACGGGAACAAAGTCGCGGGCAAAAGCTAGTAATCTATAATTTATTAATCTCCTTCTACAACGAAAACTCAGATCATACTGGAAAGGCATAGTGTAGCGTGCTTTCGTACATCAAATTAAAAACACATTAGGACTCCATGAAAATAATATAATGACCACTGAAAATAGGCTCCAGTGTGTAATGATGTTTGCACTATAAAAACATAATTTATTTCTGAATAATTTATGTTGAGAATTTTATAATTATGCCATTTGAATCAGAATAGGCGCAACAGAACGATTATTTCAAATAAATATTTTAATAAAGTTATTTTACGTATCTAAGCAACCTAATCTTTATATAGACAAATTACTATGGAAATCTAAAATCAACGCTTTGCTGTAGTTTTCAAATTGAAAATCAACGACACGCGAGCGAAGCAGCCGACAAAAACTAGTTAGCTATATGAACGCAGTTTCAGTAAATGCAAATTGCTTCGGAGTAACTCCTTCCTGTCGGATATTGGAGGCCGCGCGGACAGGCACCAACGCACAGACACACAGACTCGTCATTTTACAATGAATCGGAATTTCTATTTCTGCCGTTTCATATGAGAGAAGATATGAAAAGGATTCAAATGACATACATATAGCGGGAAAGTAGCAGGATGAAAACCTTATAGGGTTTTCTGTTATTGATGGAGATATATCATTAAATGACTGGTCTCGCCCAGACTAGGGAGATGGGGAGTGTTCGACTCTTACTGACCAATAACCACTCCGTTTCTTCCTTTAGCCGAGGTCGCGGAATCTTATTGCGCTTGCCAAGCAACCCTGGTTGAACATCAGCCCTGTTGTGCCCTACTGTGATAGGTTTTTGGCTATTTGAGAAACACTATTGTACCTAGTGTCTCATCCGGACCTCACCATGACAACACCAAAGCATTTGACTACCGCAATAATTTGACGGTACATATTAGCAAATAAAGCAACTAAAGTAAAAAACTAAAATTGCTTAAAGCATGCATTATGTCTTCAATTCCAACCCCTCTCGAACAAGAAAGGCATCGCGTGGCTATTCCCAACAATATCTTAACACGTTGTTATCAAGCGATATGGCTTGAATGTTTACGACATCATAAATTACTTTATTTAGCTTACTGGCAACCCAGTCACTCGGTTTACTGGCCTGTGGTAAGTGAAATTGAAATTCTGGGAATGCGATTATTCTAGTAATGCTACACTGAACTATTCTTGATTAGGTTCTACTTGGGAATTAAGTAATATTTATTAACAGTAAAGTTATTTATTTGTATATATAAAATTAATATAAGGAAGGCCTCTAGTAAGTAACATTACTTGCACTGCGAAACAGAACGCTGTGGTTGTGTCACGCCGGTTTTTGTAGGGCCGTGATACAACTTCGACGGAGCCGGCTCATTCGTGCCGAAGCATGGCGCTCCCACACTTAAATATGCTAACGGTTCAACACATGTGCTTCTTTAGGGTTTTCGTTTATTATACAAGATAAATAATTTTTATGAAAAATAAATTTCAAGAGTTCAAGCAACCTTCCTATGACCTTGGTCTTCCACCATTTCACAGTGACCTGGTTTAAAACGTGAGTAGGTATATAGTTTGAGCTTACATTAAGCCATCAGAGAAACAATTCACTAAAACATCTTAGTACATTGTTATCAACACGATATGCCGAGCACGGAAAGTTTACGACATCGTAAATTACTTACGAGTCGAAAACTCGTAAAAAAGTTGTCAAGCCGAAATTGGACGTACTCTACTATGATAATGTTGGACAAACGCCGTAATTACGGGACACAGCCACCGTAAATGCTTAAGGGTGCGTGCGAATGACGCGTTTTTTTAAACCGCGACGACGCACCTGCTACTGTTTTGTTTATAGGCAAAATGGCGGATCATCTGTGGAGCGAATTTATTCGTGTGCTGTTTCTCGTGTCCCTTTACCGGAACGAATTGGTACACTAATCAATATGACTATTGTCGAAATAGATATTTTCTCAAATTGTACTAAAATATATGCAAATATCTCAAAACATTTTCCTACTTAAAAAATTCTTGACATAAGTAAGTTAGGTATTTTCTATCCCGAAAAAAAAGTTGCAATAAAAAATGACAATGAAACCACAGCCTAACCACATGGGAAGTCTCCAGAAATAATTTAGCACCCAAACTATTAAACATTAGTGGAGGAGCCGGCAGTTTATCGCAGGCCAACAAATAAAACCAGTACATATAACCTTAAGTACTGTATTATCAAGACAATGTACAAAGTCAATAAATAATACTTTTATAGTCTACTAGCTGTGGCCCGTGGTTTTACTTA